GAGGTCCCCAAGTGAGTTGTATCCGTGCCTGGGGACTGTGGCTCTGTGAATGACTAAGCCAGCATTCTGGTTCAGTATGCTACTGTTTGTGTGGCCATTTCATGCTAGTCAGTCCTGGGACTGGTTTGTCCGTGGTGTGCACGTGTAGTCGGGGACCAGGTGCTGAGTTGTGATGAAGCACCACAATGAAGCCACCTCGCCTGCGCGACCAGCCACCTTCCCCAGCTGGCCATGTCTTTCCCCGGACATTTTTATACTTGGCTGTTTGCACTGGTTACGTCAAGGCAGGGCCCAATAAATACTTTCTGCGTGGTGGACTGATTGATTGGTACATGAGTTGGAAGGAAGCAGCCCACCCAGGTGTCTTGTCCCCAGAAGGTCCCCAGAAGGCCATGGTTCCAGGGGCAGGGGGAGGAATGAAGGAGCAGATGTTGACTGAATTCTCCTACATTCCAGGCACTGGCTGAATGTGCTTTCGTTCTTTTTTTTCTTTCTTTCGTTTTTTTTTTTTTCTTTACTGGATAGCAGTGTTTTTCCAGGACCCATCAGCTCCAAGTCAAGTAGTTGCTTCAATCTAGTTGTGGAGGGCGCATCTCGGTGGCCCATGTGGGGATCAAACCAGCAACCTTGGTGTTATAAGCACTGCACTCTAACCAACTGAGCTAACCGGGCTGCCCCATATGTTTACATTCTTTATCTCATTTATTCATCCCTGAAGCCGTGTGGTGAATCTTCCTGAATCTATTTTACAGATGAGGAACGGAGGTTCAGAGAGATTAAGTAACCTATACAGAGGTCATCCGGTGAGCGAGTAGTGGAGCTGGGATGAAATACAGCTCCCCTTACCCTGAATCTCTTTCTTGGGGGGCGGGGGGGAAGGACCCAAGAGGGAAGGCACATATGCCTTCTATGTTAGAAGAGGGGTTTCTGGGTGAAGAGGTGGGCAGGGCATGGAGGCCCTCCCGGAGGGTCCTGCTCCTCGCCCACACCAAGCGTTTGCCCTGTGGGGACAGACTTGGCAGCTGTGGTCCTTGGCTGAGGATTAAATGGTAGGAAATGAGCTTCGGGGAAATTCCAGCCTTGATTCTTCCATGAGATGAAGGCTGGCATGATGCACTGCCTGGGCACACCCCGATAGCATGTCCCCCACCCCCACGCGCTTACAGATCACAGAGATACTCCCCCTTCCTTCAACCACACACCAGCACAGACGCCCAGCCCCAGCTACAGGCAGAAACCCTGTGAGGCGTGGCGCTGATTCTTCAACATCTGGACACAGATTCTCCCTGGCAAACCCTAAGCCAACTTCCGCCTCCCCTGACGACCCACTTGCAGTTGTTACTCAGACATCCCAGTTTCCTTCCCTTCCTCCCTTGCTACCTTCCCAAGCTCTTGGATGAAGTCATATGACTCTGTATGTCCTAAGCATGGATGTGTGTACCTCAGGTCTCTGCAGCCTTCTCCCTGCTCCTGATGTTCTTGGGTCTCCAGTCTTTTCTCCAGTGGCTGGACGGATATCAACATCAGCTGTCACTGGCCTGGGGCTACCTCATCACCACTCCCTGGCAAGGCACTGCACATGAGGCCTTCTGGGGATGCCATGCCCACATCATCTTTGTTGGTCAATACTGTTCTTTATCTCCCTTCCTGCCAACTTCCCACATGACCCCATTCCATCCCTCAAAAATATCTCTGCCCTGGAACGCAGCTTCTTCTCAGTTAGAAAGACTTTTCCTGGCAGAACCATGGAAGCCTGGGGGCAGAGAAGGGGGTTAGGGAGCCTGGGCTGAGCTCTCCCTGCCCGTCCCTGCTGAGCCAGCCTACAGGGAGACAGTGTCTTGGAGCCCTTGTACCTTGGGATGGGCAGAGCCCTCTCTATGTCTAACTCAGCTCTGGGAAGCGGAAAACCCACAGAAAAGTGATGTGGGGAGTTCGGTCTTCCCCCAGCTTGAGCCTGGCAACTCCCACGCAGTTTGTAGGATGGCAGAGAGGAAGGTATTAGCGAGTGAACTACAGGAATGATGCAGCCCTGCCCCAGCTCTGCAGGGCGCAGAGAGCCACGCCCAGGCTCCGCTGTCCCCTTCTCTGCCCCCAGGCCTCCAAGAAAAGTCTTTCTAGCTGAGAAGCTGCACTTTGGGACAGAGATATTTTTGGGGGTGTAATGGAGTCATATGGGAAGTTGGTGGGGAGGGAGATAGAGAAAAACATCCATCAGCAAAGATGATGTGGGGTGTAGCTTCCCCAGGCCACATGGTCTGTGTCTCGCCAGGGAGTGGTAAAGAGTTGGCCCCAGACCAGCAATGGCTGGTGCTGGCCTCTGTCCAGCGATTTGCCCAGCTCCTGGCAATCTTGTTCGTGTTACATAACCTTTCTAACCTCACCTTCCTCACCTTAAAACCAGGGATGATGGTAATATCTGCCTCTTAGAAATGCTGAGGGCACGAATTAAGATGATACATGTAAAGTACGTAGCAGGTAGAAAGGGGCCTGGCTTAGAGTAAATGCTCAATAGATACTATTCACTCATTCATTCACTCACTCATTCATTCATTCATTCAGTATGTATGTATGTATGTATGTACTTTATCCCAGGCACTATTCTAAGGGCGTAGGATATATCAATGCACAAAACAGGCCAAGAGTCCTGTCCTTTTGGGGCTTGCCTTCTACCCGAGGTGGATATTGGGGGAGGAGACAAATAACAAAGAAGAAACAGGATAAATAATTAAATAAAATAATATGTTAGAAGTTTAAAGTGCTGTGGAAAAAAGCAAAAGTACAGCAGAGTGAGATTACTGCCTGTTTTGCCAGAATTTGGGTAACTTCACTCTTATGTCTCCTTTCTAAGGTAAAGGATAAACCTCTCTTGCCTCAGCCGCGCCCAGTGAGAGTTGCCAACTCCTCCCAGTGCTGTCTCCCACACAACAACAGTGACTAGGGTTTAGCACAGCTTCACTCATTTGTTCCCTCAACCAACAGATATTTACAGAACACCTGATAATGGCATGCTCAACGTGAATCAGACGTTCTTGTCCTGAAGGGTTTTGCAGGTGAGGAAATAACTGCGTGTGAATAATCTAAATAAGAAAGTGATCAGGGCGGACAGGAGCTGCTGGAGACAAGCAGGCAGTGTGGGCCCTGCCCTGTGTGTTGACCCACGGTGCCAGCCCCTCCCTGGACCTGGGGCTGTTCCACCTCGGCTTGCTTTGACTGTTTTCTTCTGGTAAGCTAATGGACTGTCCCTAACTTGGTGTCTCAGGGAGAGAAGATACGCATTGTTCTTTCTGAGGGGGAAGAGATAGTTTCTGGGTTGGCCTTTGAGCAAAATCAAACCTGAGATCCCCCTCCCACCCCACCCACCCAGCAGCGGAGAGGGATGCTGTGACAATCTGTCTAGTCGTGTGCCCAGCCTGTGACATGTCCCTGTTCCCCCACCTTCACGGTGTGGCCTCTGCTGCCCTTATTTAAAGGCTGGTCTGACCCTGGTACAGCAGTGAAGGGGAGAGAGGCCCATGTTGTCTGTGGCTGTGGCATCTTGCTGCAGACCCCAAGGCTGTAGGCATAGAAGGTGGCTCTGATGCTTCTGGGGCTGTGACTTCTTGATTGCAAAGGAGAGACCCAGGTCTGAGGGAGGAGGCTGGGCCACATGGCTAGGAAAGCAAGGCCGTGTGTGTCTGACCACAGAGGCAGACACTCTGCCTCTGGGGTTTGGAGTTGGGAACAGGCAGTTCTCCTCAGTCTCTGCTCACATGGAGCTCTCCTGTGCTCGGCCCCCTCAGCTGCTGCGTCATGTGCTCCCTGGGGTTTGCAGAGAGGCTCCACTCCAAAGCCAGGCTGAGTCATTAGATGATGAATTGTGGAATTCTTATTCAGGCTGTCACCACAGCAGCAGTGGGCTCTGATCCCCACCTCCTGCTGCCCCATCAAGCCTCTCAAAACATTCTCTCCTCACTTGTCATTCCTTTTTCATCTTGAGGGAGCCCTGACAGTGAGCACGAGGCAGTGGTGGGGTATGTGGGGGTATCTCTGAGCTTCCCTTCCTGTGTCTGGATTCCAAACCTGTATAGGGACCAGGACCTGGTCTGTTAGCTCAGGAAAGAACCTCAGATCTCCCATCTTTCAACTCTCTCATTCACAAATGAGGAAACAGAGACAGGGGCTCAGGATTTAGAGTTGGTTGGAAGGGCAGCTTTGGAGTCAGAATCTAAATCTACTTACCACGAGCAAGCCTCATCAGGCTTCAGTGTCCTTGTCTGTCAAATCATGTTAATTCTCTTAATTTATGTGGGTGAGAGTGCCCGAAGTCATGAGTGAAAAGCACAGGGAGGTGGGCACTCAATTGATCTGCTCTTTGATTTCTGTCCTTAATGGGGAGCCAGAGGGCCTTGTCCTTAGAAATAAGGGCCTGAGGTCTTTCCTCTTCCTGCTCAGGACACTCAGGAGGGGCAGGAAGTCCTGGAGGGGCTTTGGAGACAGATCAGAGGGGCTGGGTTGGGCTAGAAGGCAGAATATTCCTGCAGCCCAGACATCTCCCAGCCCTGCAGAGGCCACTGTGGGATCACAGATGCAGCGTGCTAGGTGTCCACAGATGTTCATTTGGTTCCCCCCAATGAGAAAACAAGCAGAAACCAGTGGTGGGCACAGCCACCCTGACCTGGGCCCCTTACCCCCACAGTCATACCCCACCTGAGTGTGCATGTGTGCAGTCCTGCTGGGCCAGATCACCTGCTGGCTCCCACTAAGGGTTAGCCTGGAAGGTACACATCTCTACCCAGAGGGCCCCTCTGTCCTGCATGTGGGAGTGCCCTGGGACAAGGGTGGAACCACAGATGGTGACTGTGCCAGTCACCCTGCTCCTGCAGTGTCCCAAAGGATTCCATGTTGTCATCTTTGGAGCTACAGCAAGGGTGGCCATATCCTGTTCCCTTTGCCACCTGGACCTATGTGTTGACAGTCCCCAATACCCATGAACCATTTGAGAAAAGTTTCAAATTTTTTTGAAAGACTTTATTAAGAAACAGAAGATATAAAGTACACAATCAAAGGAATGAAAGAGTTTACAACACAGATTTCTCAGCCCATTGCAACTAAAAGAAATTTGCTGGGCTGACACCATGGACACTGAGGCCCCAATTCCATTTTCAACCCTGTCCCTCTTGGTTGCTAAGCCAACCAGTTCAAACTTTCTCTGGAGACAAGTTAAGCCGCTTTCTAAAACCTCCCAAACCTACTTCCTGATTGCCTCTATGTATAGGCTCTTCCCTATTTGGTCCCAAAGATTCCTCACCTGAGCTTCAGAAGAGGTCCAGCCTGACCCTGCTGTACCTCTCCACTTCTCCAATCAAAGACATCTGTGGTCCCGCAAAGATCTATTTTTTAAAATTAAACTATATTCGTGAACCAGTTAGGTAGGCTGGGTCTACCACCTCCGGTCAAGTTACCAATCTTCCTAAGCCTACATCGGAATGTGGTCTTTCTCTTGCAGGAAGATCTTGAGTGCTCTGGCAGCTCTCTGCCCCAGCTAGTCCAAAGCTGCATTCTCCCTGAAACAGAACTCTGTGCCTCTGTCCAGTCGCCCACTGAATTTATGGGATAGCTCTAGTTCCCAGCTGACCTGCCAAGAAGAGATGGTCAAACACCTTGATCTTAATACCCACCTTCGAACCCTACCCATTTCAGATCACCAACCTCACCAATTTCCTTGGAAGATTTCTGATTTCTCTCTTGGACTTCTGCCCCTATGGAATTTTATCTCTGTAGATTTGTTATATGACACGGCTTTATAGACAGTAATAATAAGACTACAGTGAAAGAGCTATTCCCTCCCAAATTATATTTTCTCTACATTATCAAGAGATTTGGCCACTCTCACCATTTTGAACTTCTTCTAAAAGTCTATGGTTCTCAGTCCTTCATTAGTACAGCCTGATTCTCAGCTGGCTTTTAGAAATAGCATTGGGTCTTAGCAAGCTGGCCATTGGTCCTTTCTGTTCCTACAGTCTCGGTTGTGTCTTAGCATATGGCTTCTTCAAATAATGCTGGAATGCAAAATAAAACAGCCTTCTCCAAAGGAGAAGCAAGTAACAGCTCTACCCACACATTCTTGGGCTTTTACCTCACAATATGTGCACATAACATCCCATTCAAGCTTATACTGACGGGAGGTTAGGTTAGTACGAGTCAGTTGAACTTTCTCCCAACCAATACTTTGGATTTGAGATTTCTGGTATGCAAAATACTTCTATGCTTCTCACCCAGTCCTCACAGCAACCTTGTGAGGTGGGCATGATGGATTGGATATTCTCCCCATTTTACTGATGTAAAAACTGAAGTTCAAAGAGGTTAGGGAGCTAGACCAAGATCACACAGCTATTTAGTGGAAGAGCCAGCACTCAACCCAGGTCTCTGCTTCCTAGTTCAGTTTTTTAGGTGCAAAGAAAATGAAAGAAGTTTTCTCCTACCCAAACTCCCTTTCTCCTACCCAAACGAACGGCATTCTCCTTTCGCCAGTATGTGCATAACCTGTAAAGTTCCAAACAGGAAAAGAAATGATTAAGCAAGTTAATTGTCACAGTCCGATGTGGGGTGGGGGTAGGGGTTGGCGTGTGCTGTTATTTTTCACAAGATTCCCCTGTAGTTTAACCAAGAACTCTTTCACTCGGTGCTGAGTAGTGCTTTCTGTGGGGTTCATTAGGATTTCCGGGTCACGGTTAAGATACTGGGGATTTTACCTCTAAATTAGCTCAATGCTATACTTCCCATCCATTTCATATTTTGCTGTATTCTCTGCCTTTCCACCTCTACCCCTTAATGAGGAAAATTTCATATTTCTGTCAGCCTTCCAATACCCGGCTTCTCAGGATGCTTACAGCTTCCTGGAAAGCCATGTGGCTCCTGCATGTCTGGAGGATCTGTGGAATTCTCTCCTTGCAGCCAGGTGACATTTCCTTTCTGAAGGTCGCTATTCCTGCTTTACCTCCTGGGTGAGCCACATGGGCTGGAGCCATTTCTTCACCAGCCAGGCTCTCAGCATATGGTTCCCATACAGCTCTGTAGAGCTGTTGTTCCAACCTGAAGGTATATGATCCCCCAGAATCCCCTCCACACACATAAGATGGATACTCCAATCTCATCTCTCGTGACTAGATGCAGAGCCATACCCTGGGAAGCATATGGTGGACTATGTCCACAGTGCCCCCTACTGGAGATTTCCTATAAGCCAAGGTTTTGGACTACGTGGCATTCAAGGTGGCAAATCTCTTGTCTTACCATTGTACTCTCCCTTTTCTAGATATTAATTCATTTCACACACGTTTACTGAGCACCAACTATGAGCCATCACTATGTTAACTCTGCAGATAGGACTGCAAAGAAGACAGACCCTCCCCACCAATGCAACTCACCTATACTAGCTGGTTCCTTAGAACCACCGCTTGGTTTCCAGTTAGTCTGAATTTGCTGGTGAACTCAACAAGACCCCTTCCTGCCTTCTGGACACTCCATAATTATCCCACCACCTGAGGGGACCGCCTGACCTCTGCAAACCTTCCCAGAGTGAGTTCCTTAGTCAGTCATCAGACAGGCCCCTGCTCTGATGGCCCCTCCTCCCTGCCACACCCGGCCAGCTGGCACTCTCTCTCTAACTCCTGTCCCTCCTCTAACAGGACAGTCTCATTTGTGCTAAGTGACACATTCATTTGTAAATCCAGTAGCTATTCTTGTATATCGTTTATAGAGGTGTATTTTTTTAAGTAAATATTCAAGCATATATGATACTTAATGGACAGTAATAACTGAAGTAGAAATGTGCATATATGAATAACAGCACAAAATATCTCAAAAAGAACCCAATCTCCCAAATCACTATTTACACATTTTGAACCCATTTCCACTCGGTAATGATTCAGACATACTTTCACCTTGTTGCTATCATTATGTGATCATAATTCAAAATGATCTTTCTTTTGCTTATGATTGCATAACATCATATTCTTGTAAATAGTTTTCATAGTTGCCATCCATAAAGACATAGCTCATTGTCCTAATAGACCACAATCTACTTAGCTGTCCCCCCACAGCTGAGCAGTTTCTAGTCGACTAATTTATAGGGTGGCCACAAATATGTCTGTGCAAATGCTGTTTTTCTTTAGAATTATTTTCTCAGCATGTATTCCCCAAAGTGAGATAACTGAGTCTTATGGTCATTTTCTTTTTTTCACCCTTATCAAGTATTGCCAAACTGCTGTCCAGGAAGCATCATTTTATAATGTCAGAAGTCTATTTCTCCACAACATAACAATTTACTTTTAAAATGTATTTTTGACAGATTTGATGCAAGTGGTTGACTTTTTTTTTTTTAATCTTTTTGTTTACTGGTCCTGGCCTGTGTGCGTTTCCTCCTGGGCGCCCAGCCTATTTCGTCCTTTGACCAAGTAAGATCTCTTGGTCACTGCATATACGGAGACTCAGCTCTTACTCAGTTTTCTCCTCTTACTGGTTTTCTTTGGATCTGCCTTGTTCTTTGCTGTGTATACCTTTCAAATTTTTACATAATTGAACTTGTCCACTTGACATTGATGATTTTCCCTATCACTTCAATAAACAAGCAATAACCTCTCCAGAAAAGGATTTTCTTTTCCCCACCTTGTGCTTTCCATCTGGACTTGTCCGAAATCCTTCTGGTTCCCATGAACGCTCCATTTCCATGATCCCTAATTAAGATTCCCTTAGGTCATCTCTCGACAGCCTCTATCTAAACATGTCTACCTCAGTTCCACCGCTGTCATGGCCTGAGCAAAGGACCAGCGGTTGTGGCCCACCTCCGACTAGATCCTTCCCTCTGGTTTTCACTCCTCCACCATCTCAGCCCCACTACCAACTTCTCAGGTTTCCTGGCTGGTTTGTCTCCCCAATCCCACACCTGGCCTCCAGAATCAGGTTGTTTTCCCCAGCAGCCATGGCCTACCGAAGGACAAGTTCCTTCACCCCTTAGTTCAGCCAAATGAAGGCCAAAATTTCTCAAAAGGAAGTTTTCGGGAAAACTAAGGGGAAACTAAAAATGGTCTCCAGGAAATGTAATGATATCAACACAGAAGAGATTTTACATCCTACATAGGTCATGGGTTGAGGGTGGCAGGGAGGAGACCCAGGGGTCCCCCTTCTTTCACACTCAGAACCCTGTGTGTGAGACTCCGACCCTACCAAGTTCAGTGCTTGAGCAGCACATTCTCTTCACGGACTCTGAGGGAAACACCTTTTGGCTTCAGCTAGCATCTGTACTTGGTCCCCCATGATGCCCATTCCATACGCAATGGGGGACGCCAGTATCAGAGAAGCCTCTACTGCCTGGCTGCAGCTGGTGGAGATGCCATTAACTGCCATTTCAAAATCCCAGGCCTCTTCTAACCTGGCATGTCCCTGTTCTAGTCTGAGGGGAGCTGGTTCTCAGATCTTCCAGAAGGCGTGTACCTGACATACGCTGAGCCCTTCTGGGTTCAGAGGACTTCTGCCCACCTCCCTAAGACTCTCACGGGGCTCCTCCACCAGGAGTTGTTTTGAAGAATGCAAATCAGGACAAGCTTACAAATCTCAGGAACTTAACTATAACGACAGTGGCAGAGGGGATGGCGGCGATGGGGGGACAATCAACCACAAAAACAAAAGGCATGGTTAACTCCCACCATGTTACCAAATCTTCTCCTCTGCTTCTGAGAGCTATGGTCATGCCACCACCCTCGGTCCCTATCCCTGCACACACAAAGAGTGGTTGGCAGTGTGGCACTTCACTTTGGAAGGTTGCCAACACCTGCCCTCTGGGAAAATGCTCTTGGCCACCGTGTCCCATGGCAGCCCTGTCTCCCTCCTCCCAACCTACTCCCTCCCCAATCCCACCCAGTTCCACTCCAGTCCTAGCCCTTTAACTGTCAGGAGAGCGGACCCGAAAGATGTGGATGGTCCCATTACTGAGGGACACAACCAGGTATCTGCCGTCCACCATGGTGGTCACCCGGGGCTTTTCTAGGCCATGATAGGCTGTCAGGAAGTCTCCAAGCAGTGACCCCTTCGGGTCTAGGATCACCACCTTGTTGACCTCACGAAGGGTCAGAAAGATATAGCCCTTCTTATCCACAGACACGGAGCCTGGCTGGCAGCCATGCAGGCCTGGCCCCCCATACTCTCCAATCACCTGACCCAGGCCGTCACAGACTACCACGCTATTCTGCTGCCAATCTGACCCCACAAAATTGCCCTGAGGGCTAGTGGTCAGAAACACCAGTGCCCGCAGGCCCCGGTTGGCCTTGCCCCCAGGGATAAACCTGGTGGCCAGGCTGCCTTCCATGTTGTACACCTCCACGTGGCCTGACACACTGACAGCCACCCGGTCCCCGCTCGGCATTGCAGCCACAGCGTGGCTGGCTTGGGAGAGGCTCAGAGCCCGGCGCCACTGTACCTCACCATCAGGGCTAATGAGATAGAGACGTGCACCGGCCGAGAAGGCCACTGCGCCCTGCAGAGCAGCCACGCTACATGGGGAGCAGCCCTCGGGAACTGGCACTGTGCCCTTGTAGTCACCATTGAGGGAGAAGCGCTTCAGAGCCCTGTTCTGCTCATCTGCCACCAGGATCTCCCGGGGCCCAAAGGGACAGAGCCCAGTGATCCGGGGAGACCTCTTGTCTCCGGGCATCCGTGTGGGGAAACTGCAGGAAAAGATGGGCCTGGGGAGGAGGCCGGAGCCCTCCAGGTTTGGCCCAGGCGCTGGGCTGGGCTCCCGGGAAATTGACTTGAGCCTGCCTTTGAACTTCCTCTTCTTGTTGGATCTGCCGCCCCTTGGAATCTGGGCTTCCCAATCTTCTTGGGGAGTCTGGGCTCTGTCCTCTTTCAGGGTTTGCGCTCTCTCCACCTTTGGGGCCTGGGATCCATCTTCCTGGGGCGTCTGGGCTCTGTCCTCCTTTGGGGTCTGGGCTCCATCTTTACTCTGGGGCTGGACTTCACTTTGTCTCTCTGTCTTGGCTTCGTCCCCTCTCAGGCTCTCGGTTTCCTCACCTCCCTGGCTTCCTGCTCCGTCTTTCCCACTGTCTTTCTGGGGCTGCTGCTTCCCAAAGGAGAGCCACAGCAGGTGGCAGTTCTTATCCAGGAGCCCAGGATGGAGCTCCAACTGGGGCGGCAGGCCGGGGACTGGTCCAGGCATCCAGGGACAATCCTGCAGCTGCCGGAGCCTCTGGGCAATCGCCCCCTCCAGTGAGAGAATCTCAGCCTCACGGCCCAAGCTGAGCACCCGACGGGCAAAGGCGGCCGCCGCCCTGGCCACCTGCTCCCGGCTCTCTAGCTCCCCCAGTCTTTCCCGAGCAGCCTCCTCAGCAGCCTCCACATGGGCCCGTAGCTGCCCCAGCACCTCCTTCTTCTGGGCCAGGAGGGCCCGGAGGACCCCCTCGGCGGCCTCCTCCACCTGCGTCCCCACCCTGGCAGCCTGCTCCCGCAGCTGGGACAAGGCTTCCTTTTCCACCATCCGGGCGGCCTCTAGCTCAGCCAGGTTCTTATCCACACCTGCCAGTAGCTCCTCAAGGCCTGGCCTCCGGGCACGCACAGCCTCGGCCAGAGGCATGCAGGGGTGGTCCAGGTGGGGGTCCAGACGGCACTCTCGGCACAGCAGCTGGGAGCAAGGCTGGCAAAGGAAGCGCAGGGCCTCGCCTGGGTGCTGAGGACACTGGGCTGCCTGGCGCTCCCGGGCCTCCTCATCATACCACCCCGCCCTGTAGCCCACCAGGTCCACCACTCGGTGGGTGTGAGTCTGCCGGGTGCAGCGGTGCCCGTCAGCACAGGCCTGGCACAAGTCATCGGCACAGTCCAGGCACCGGGCTGTGGCTGGCCCCCCAGCACTGGCGCCCCCCATCAGGGGGCACAGTGCACAGGCTGGCTTGCCTGCGCGCAGGTCTCCACCAGCCCGAGCCCTCACCAAATCCAGGAGCCCGTTCACAAAGAAGTTGGTCTTGAAGGCGGCCACGCCTGCTGGTGGCACGGGCACAGTCTCTCGGCACTCGGGGCATCGGAGGTGGCCGCCCTCAGCCAGCTGAGCCAGGCAGTCCTGGCAGTAGGTGTGCAGGCAGGGCAAGGTTTTGGGCGCCCGAAGCTGCTCCAGGCAGATTTTGCAGGCCAGGAAGTCGCTGCTCAGGGCCTCCAGCAGAGACGGTGAGGATGCCTGGGACACCATGCTGCAAGTGAGAGGTCAGGGTCAGAGGGCAGAGGGCACTTACACAGTGCTTCCAGCCTGCCCTCCTGTCTCTCCCCCTATCCTCAAGCCCCACCAGGTCTGAAGTCTCACCTGAGTGGCCAGGAATTTTCTTCTGGTCTTATGGGGCCTCTGGCCACTTGATCTTGAGCTAGCAAGCCGCCCTCCTCTTTGCGTACATTCAGCAAATGTGAAAAAGTCAGTGCTGTTTGCATGTGTCAAGAGATTCAAGAAATGACAAGACCAAGAAGCCCCCGGCCTCAGAGTGCTAATAGTGTAATGATTGGTGCCCTCAGTTGACAGGCTGAGGCAAGCATGGTCTGAACCCCCTGTGTGAATAGGTCCTGGGGGTCCTTCTGGGGCCGGGGTGGGGGGACACAGCAGAGGGTCCAGGTGGGCACAATTGCCTTGGCTCCTGGCAGCTGGAGCAGTATAAGGGGCCCAGTTCCCATGGCACATACACCTGTCTTTTTCTAGACCCTGGGAGTAGCATCAAGCGTAGTGGGGGTCCCACTTCCTGCCCTGACATTCCTGAAATGGGTTCTGGAACAGGCAACAGGAAGGCTGAGGCAAAGTAGCTGCCCTGCCCTTTCCTTCCCGCTGCTCAACCTTGGGGTCACTATAGCTTTGCTTCAACTTCTAGAGGCCTTCTCCTTCAGCCTTTCCTGCTGCAAGAGGCACCCTACTCTCCTAGAAACCTCTGAAGCGTCTGAGTTGTGCGAGGTTCATCTGAGAATCTCCTCAGCTCCCAGCACAGTGGCAGTGAAATACTTAATGAAGGGACTTAGGGAATTTTCCCCAAACTTCCGGAAAGTGGGGGCTGGCAGAAGATTTCAGAGATGGAGAGGGGGTCTTTCCCAGGGAAGTCTCAGAACTCTGCCTCTGTGTGGTGAGGTGGCGGGCGCTCTTCCCCAGCCTCCCCTCTCCGCCTGCCTTCCGGGTCTCTTTCCCCGCCTCCCCCCTCCCTTCCTCGTCCTCCCGCTCTCTCCCTTCCCCCCACTCCTTCCAGTTCAGCTCTTCCTTCAGCTCCCCTCCCGGTCCCTCTCCTTACCTGGACTGAGCTGACCTTGGGCTCCAGGACCAGGAGTGGGGGTCTGAGGCCTGGATGCTGCTGTTCTCCGGTGCCTGAAAGAGAAACAAAACTGAAACTAATTTTACTTGTGCGACTTCCGTCCCAGCTCCGGGACACCGACTTGCACAGCCTCAGGCCCCGCCTTCTTCCCCACCCCTGCCTGAACCTCTTCCTGGGGGGGCCCCATCCCAGCAGGGCACAGCCCCCTCTAGCAGGCTCCAGGGTCGCCTGTCAGCTCTAGCCTCAGGACTTGCTCAGCCACTTAAGTGTGTTTGTCTCAATCGCAGGGAACTGTCTGAGGATGTGTCCTCTGAGGAAAGAAATTAGAGATCATCTGAGCTTCAGAGCCCCAGTCCTCAGGCCTGGTTTCCAGTGCTGAGAGTTTATCTGCAAATCCAGTCCTAGGTGAGGCCCTTGGTGCTGTAAACTCTGCTGACCTACAGGAGAGGCTGTGGGAACCAGATAAGGGGCCCCCATCTGAGGGGGTTAGCAAAGGCTTACTGGAGGAGGTGTCGCTTGAGATGAATTTGAAGAGTGAACAGGGGTTTGGGATTCCATGGAGAGAAACACAGGGAAGAGTGTTTTGGAATTCAGGAATAGCAAGAATGTGGACACAGAGGAATGGAATACCACAAGTCTCCTGAGTGGTTCCAAGTAACTTAGCATGGTTTGTGGGAAGGGGATATGTGAGTGGTAGCAGATGAAGTTATAGAGGGAGGCAGCACAGCCCAACCACAAAGGGCCTGAGTGAAGGAGCCTGAGTTTTATCCAAAAAGCCAAAAGAAATCACTAAAGGATGTTTTCCCCAAAATCTTACGAAAATTTTGAAGCACATGAAGTTGAAAGAATTTCAACAAACACACTCATACACCCACCATTTTGATTCTGCAGTTAACATTTTACTATAGTTGATTCGTCATGTATCTATACATGTACGCATCCCTAAATCCACAGTGACGAGATTCCAGCAGAAAACTGAACTGAAGAGAGCAGCTGAGAGAACAGAGGGTCCAGGTGAAAGTGGAGCTTGGGGGTCTGAGCTGACCCAATGGCAATAGGGACAGAGATGGAAGCCACACAGGTGAGCTATTATTGAGGGCAAAAGAAGCCATGGGGCTTGTGACTGGCCCTGGGAGGAAGGTGAAGAAAGGAGGGCAGGATGCCCCTCAGGTTTTACAGGTCTGGAGATCAGGAGGGAGAACTAGGCTGGTGGTACCCAGACTTGTGACTTTTCCAATGTATCTGTGGTTTTGATGAGGTCACTCAACAGTGTCCAAAGCAAGAAGAAAAGGACTGAGATGGCACTATGGGGATATAGGCATTTAAGGGCAAATGGGGGAGGGGCTGGGGCAGGAAGGAGGCTGAGAAATAGTTGTCCGAGGGGTAAGTGGAAATCCAAGAGAGAGGTCACAGGCGTCATAGCTGAAGAATGCTACACTTCTAGAAGAAGGAGGTGGCCAGTGCTGTTAAATGCTACAGACCAGATGTTCAGCCAAGATGGGAACAGAAAAACATATTGGTGCATGTGTGCCCCTAAGTGTATGCGTATCGCTTCTGTGTGTGTGCTTGTGCACATTGAAGAATGATTTGTTGAATGCCTACTCTGGTCAGACAGCGTGTAATGTACTCTAGAACATACAAAGGTAAACATATGTTTCTTGCTCATGAGAAGTTTACAATCTAACAGGGGAGATGCAATATGTACATGGTGCAATATACGAGTAAGACAGTAAGACAAATCTCATATTAAGGTGTCAAAATAATCATCACAATGGCTTCCTTCCATTGGGTCTTTACCATGAGCTTGACATGGGGTATTGTAAATATAACCTGATTTAATCCTCACAATAACCTGGTGAGATAAGTATCATTGTTCTCATTTTACAGGTAAGGAAACTGAGTTATAGAGAGAAAAAGTCATGGGCCGGCCAAGTGGCTCTTTGGTTAAGAGTTGGCTTGTGAGCGCAAGCTCTGAGCAACAGGGCTGCCGGTTCGGATCCCACATGGGCCAGTGATGCTGTGCCCTCTACAGCTAAGATGGTGAACAACAGCTCGACCTGGAGCCGGGCTGCTGTCAGTGGCCAGCGATGGCATAGGCTTCAGTGGGGCTGCAGTGGGCTGCCGTGAGCTACTGTGAGTGGCCGGCAGCCAGCGTGAGCTGCCGTGAGTGGCCATGAGCGGCTGTCCAATGGCCGGTGACTGACTGACTGCCTCAGCCGGGAAGAGCACAATGATCACAATATCAACATGGGCCAGTGAAGCGACGTCCTCCACAACTAGACTGAAGATCAAAAGGACAGCAACTTGTCTGTTCCCCTTCCCCGATTCCCCAATAAAAATCTTTTAAAAAAGTCAGTCACTCAAGGCCACAAAAAGTGCTGTGATAACACAGCAGAGGGAGAGTTTGATTTCGTCTGGAATGGTGGTGGTGGTGCGGGAATCAGAAAGGCTTCCTGAAAGAGGGAGTATTACAGTGGCTGTCTTACCCCCATTTCCCTTAACATTGAACAATTGCTTAAAGGGTCTACAAGATGTGGCCAAGCCCCGGGATGATAGTTTCTGTACCCTGAGAACAGGCTCCTAAACTAAGTGATACCTCAACTACAGCCAACTGATAAGTGTTTCCATGGAGACACATACAGGGAGGAGGAGGAGTTGGGGGTAGGTTGGAGATAGTTGCTGGATGGATGCTTTGGGCACCTCAAGATGACTCCAGGGAAGGTGGTTGGTTTGATAGCGCTGGAATGCAGGTGGGTGGAGGGTAGTGGCAGGAAATGGGAGTTGGGCAGGCAAAACTAACTAAAATTTCCTGTTTAGAGTTCTGTAAGGCCTTAAAGTAAGGAGGGGCCATTATAGGATTTTCATTAAGCAAGTTTGTACTTTGTTCTCTAGGTACTTGGTGTGTGTGTGGCAGGGAGTATGAGCAAAGGTTTTTAATCTTAATTTATACAAATAATAAGGATAATTTAAAATAAAAATTATAACACTTATAATTGTAACAAAATAACTATTTTTTCTGTGTGTATTTCCTTTGTCCTCTGTCCATATGAAATATATTTTACATAATTGTATTCATAAGGTACATATATGTTTTGTCTACTTACTAACTTAATGTTATGTCAACATTTTCTATGTTTCTACATATTCTTCATAGTTATTATTGTTAATGGCTGCATAATTATGTACCATAATTTACTTAACTACAATATTTAGTAATATTGTTTTGAGAAACTCAGACAGAGAGACAGGACACCAAGGCTCGGGAAGCAACATTTATTGATGCCGGCATCGGCTCAGCAGATTTACATCCAGAGGCTGAGCCCTGACCCAGGTGGGACTCGGGGCTATATACCCTGGGGTTTTCAAGTTGGCAGCTAAGATTTATTATTAGGACATGTGGCCATTGTGCCAGTTCCTGACTGGCTCCAAGGTGAGGTAGGAATTCGGAAATATTAAATGCGGAAGTCTTAATGGCCATGTGGTCTAGGAAAGTCTTTGTCTGAAGCTCCCTGCTACAGTGCAGAATCCTTAGTGACCATGTAGTCGGGGAAAGCCTTTGTCTAGGGCCCACTGCCACATTCCCCCCCTTTGATGCTCAAACCCATACGTGGATTAGAGAGCATCACCTCCTTCGACAGGCTGCTGCCTTAGGGGTTGGTACTTCCATAACATGAGGATCTTAGCAGCAGTCTTACGTTCTACAATGGTTTCTATGAGGGAAGAGGTAGAGCGAATGACAAGGGGGAGAATGCAGGGTAGAAGGAGGCATGCCCCAAGGAGCAGGAAGACGATTCCAATTAACGCTTTAAATCCCCCAATAAGGGCTGGCCGAGTGGCTCAGTAGGTTAAGAGCTCGCTCAAGAGTTTGAGCTCTGAGCAACAGCAGTTCGAGTCCAGCCCGAGCTGAGCAGCCACTGAGCTGCCAACAGGTAGCAGGATGGCTCAGCTAAAAAATAAAAAACAAAAAAAATAAAAAAACAAAATAAATCCCCCGAGGGTGGAGAGCCATCCTCCAAATAGGCTCTCGGGGTCCCATCCTGACCATTTTTGAACTGGGACATGGGCAAGTTTTCTAATATTTGTGGCGATAGCAGGGACAGCTTTGTCAGTGTCGTCAACCTGTAGTCAACAATCCAACTCACTAAATTTGCCACAGATGCCACCTTCTTCAGCTAGTAACTAGTCCAGTGCTAGGCGGTTTTGATAAATAGCAGCCCGCATCTGGGTCTGTTGGATAGCGAGGAACTCTAAAGCTGTTGCAGTTTCATTGGTTATTATTTCTAGAACAGCCCGCAATCTGATAATACGGTTGAGCATGTAAATGGGGGTACGGTATCCCCAACTCCCATCTTGAGCCCAAGTAGCTGGGCTATAATATAGGATGATCCACTGGGGAGGCCATTTATTTTCCCGCCAGGTTTGATGTCCCCCCATATCGAGGGACCTTTTGGGCTTCATCTGCAAATCTTGGTGTAAGGAGATGCCTAGCTCTTGGCCAGTTTGGCTAGGAAGGAGGAAGAAACCAGGCTGGATTATACCAAGTGCACAGCTCCCGGTCCAGTTGGAGGGGAGGTGGGAGTATGCTCGTTTGCCGCAGATCCAGAATAAGCCATCGGGTGCTGCCCAGTGGGTACCCAGGGTGGAGTTTAAGTTATCCCATATAGTACTAAGGGCCGGGAGTGCATGGAAGGGGTTACCGGTGCCATTAGGAAAGGTGCAATTGGCAATGGAGGAGCTGGTATCTAAGAGGGAACATGAGGTAGAATTGACAATAGGGCTCCAATACCAGGTCAGGGCTTTTGGCCTCCAGCTGAGAGATGAGCCAGTTAGGTTTTGGACTCTCCTGCATGGGGTGTCTCCCACCCATTGGGTGTAGGGCATGCCTGTCCGGCTGAGACATTCTTCTCCGATTACTTCGGAGGAGAGTACCCATTCCTAGGGGCCGACTCTGTGAAGGCCGGATTGTGGTGCGGTTCCATTGGAGGAGGTCAAGGACAGTTAGGCTAGTTCCCTTCCATGGCCAGTCTTTACTCATGAGCGCTCCTCCACATACCCAGCAGACCATGACATTAAGTTCCTAGGCTATGCGTTCGGTGAGGTCAATAAAGAGGTGG